CAGCTTGTGGGGGACACTTGTGGGCAGATGCCTGCCTCTCCCCATCCCCACACGGATGCTCTCAGCCCCACACCATTAGGCACCTGGACATCCTTGGCTGAGCAGTGGAGGAGGCACTACCCTGATTTTCAAGGCAGGGTCTGAGGGATGCGGCGACCCCAGGAGAATCTCGGAGAATGCAGCCTTGCCCTGTCATCACCCTAATCTGGACAGTGCTTCTCCACTTGGGAAGTGGAGGGGCAGGAGCCCAGCTAGGCTGGCCGCTGGACCCCCAACCCCAGGCACTCAGCTGCCTAGCTGAGGTGGTCAGAGGCATTCCCACTCACTGGGAACCCTTACAGGCCACATCCATTTCCCACAGCTCCGGTGTGGCATGGGGTGTCCCCAACTCATTGCTGGGCAGCTCCCAGATGAGCCAGCCTGTCCAAGGCCACCCAGCCAGGCCAGGCAGGGCCAGGCAGGGCTAGAGGAGCAACTAGGGACCTGCCGCTGGCCTGGGCTTGGTTGGCTGACTCAATGTGGTGACTGGAAAAAGCATGTATAAGGAACACAGAGGAGGTGCCCTCCCCGGGGCCTGGCCCTCCTGTCCTCATAGAGCATATCTGCCCCACACGATGGGACAGATGGAGAAACCCAGAGACCCCTGCATTGAGTCCCGAGACCGCACCCGGGGGCCTCTCACCACCAGGGGGCCTCCCGCCCAGGGAACTGGCAATCTCCCAGCAGCCCCCTCCTCAATATCACCGCCTCCTGTCCCTCCCCACCCCCTTCCACCAGACCCTAGAAGTATCGATCGTGAGAGATCAGGGATGAGGGCAAAGGGAAGCTCCTTATCCTCCAACTTCAGTCCCCATGTCTACGCAGTGGCTCCAGCTCTGGCTCCAGTCAGGAGGACATGGTAGCTGCGTTGGGCAGAGGTTGGAGGTCAGGCTCCTGCAACCACGAGGCAGCTGCCAGGAGGCCCCGCCAAACGAGGCCTCTGGGTGGAGAGCAGCCCCTGGACCCCAACTTAGGGCAGGGGTGAACAGGCATAGTTACCCCGTGGGGTGGTTGGGCTCCCGCAGCCGCCTCCTAACCTTGTCCTGGCAGAGCAGCCCAGGAAAGGACAGCAGGACCAGCACAGTCTGGCCTGGGCGGGGAGGCTGGCCGGGGGAGCAGGCTGAGGCGCGGAGCACTAATAGGTTATGTCAGGCGAGTGCTCTGGGGAGGGGGCCGCGCCTCTCAGCTCTGGCAGCCCCACCTGGGGCCCGCGCCCAAGAGCTGGAGCCTGGAGAGAGATGCTGGCTTGGGTCTGAGTGCAGGATGAGGGCTTGGAGAGGGGGCTGCTGGGCCCCGAGCAAGGAACCTCGTGTAGCCACGATGGCCAGGAAGGCAAGATAGGACGAGCCCCCACCCCGTCAGGCCCCTGTGGGGTGGTCAACACAGAGACCACGTCCATGGACTGGGGTCCCCTGGGGAGGAAGCTACAGGTTCTGTCGAAGCCTGAATGTGGCTGGGCGTGGTGGGGAGCAGAGTCCTGGGGACCATCCCTCAGCTTCAGGAGGGCCCTCGCATGACCCCCCACTTTCACTCCTGCCCGGAGCCCCACCCAGGGCTCCATCCCAAGTCAAGGACTCTGGTTCCTCACCCCGTCCTCTCACTGCTCTGCCCAGGGTTTGCCCAGCAGCCCCCATCCTGCAAGCTGCACAGGGACAGCCCCTAACACTGCCTCCCCTCTGGGGTTGGGACGGGTCAGGAGCGGGGGAACAGGGAGAAGACTGAAAAGGAGCCCCTCTCTCAGGGCTGTGGGCTCAGGACTTGAATGGGAGCTCAGACGCGTAGAGTGGGGCTCGATGCTAGGGAGGTCAGTGAAAGGCCAGGGACTAAGCCTGGGCCTGAGGAGGGGGCCCCTAGCAGTCATCGAAGGGCGGCCAGGGCCCTGTGTGTCTTGGCCCAGCAGGACCCCTAGGCCGCCAGGTATGTAACAATTCCAGCCATTTCCTGCCCTATTAATGAGAAAGGGGCTGATATAAATACACGCTCAGCATAAATAAATACAGGCCAGGCCCCGGCTGCATAGCAGACAGATTGCGTGGAGCTGCTGGCCAGCCCTTCAGCCAGTTCCCCCCACCCTGCCCCCGTCCCCTCACCTCCCCCCAGCAGTCCAGGGCCCCTTCACACTCAAAGGCCTGAGACAGACAGACTGACTGCCCTCACCCTTGACCTCAGAACGGGGTCCCTGTCACCCCTGGGGAGGTGGCAGGCCCAGGAGAGGGGGCTGGGCTCCCAGGGGCTCCCAGCACCTCCCGCACCAGGCCTGGAGCAGGTGCTGCTCATGCACAGACAAGGCAACAGCCCTGGGAGGCCCCAGGTGCTCTGCTTGTGCCTGTTCACAGGTGGGGGAACTGAGGCTCACAGGGTTAAGGAACCAGCCCAAGGTCACACAGCCAGGAGGTTGTGGGTCCAGGATTCAAACCCTGAGGCTTTCTGATCCCAAAGCCTCTGATCTGCCCAGTGTGTGCAAAGGGCAGATTCTCTCCCCTCCCTCCCTCCCCAGCCCCAGCCCCAGGACTCCAGGGTCCTTGGGAGGCCTGGGAGGACTTACACTCAGGGCCTGGATGCCTATGACTTATGGAACCAGATCTCAGCTCCTATAAGGGCCCTGCCCACAGATCTGCACACGCAGGCCTGGCGCCTCCCCAGCCCCCCCACCAACTCCTAGCTGGGGCGTTCAGGACATTGAGGTCTCTCAAATGCTGACTGTCTCATCAGAGATCACCTGGTCACCCCACACTGCACAGACGGGGAAACTGAGGGCCGGAGGGGTTAGAGCCTTAGCTAAGGTCACAGGGACGGGGCAGAGCCATGGAGCCCAAGCACCTGGCCCAGGCCTTCTCCTCCGGCCTCTGGCTCAGCCCGGGAAGGGCCGCGTCCTCTCACTAGCCTCTCCGCTCCGTGCTTCCCCAGCTCTCCAGCCTGCACACTGCCCAGGGCAGACTCAGGTGTCAGCCTGTGTCCCAGAACCCAGCCTGGAAAGGCATGCAGGACACAGTGGACCATGTTTTCCTCACGCTTAGAACCAGAGAATAAGGAAACATTTTTACTTTAACATCTCTGTATTTTTGGTAATTTTTTCTTTTTAATTTAGTACAAGTAAAAGATAGCAGTATCACAGACACGGCCCAGAACCTCCCGGCGGGTCCTGGCCTCCAGCCCATCCTCCAGCTCATCCTGCCTCCGGTC